TGTGCCACTGGGGGGCCTGAATGGTATGATATAAGTTTCATGCAAGTCCTCTCTCGTACTAAATGCAGTCTTAAGTCTGCTTTTGCTATTCTGTTTAACTTGCCAGCATTAAAGTTTAATGTAGCTAATTTTATACACCGCTATTACCGTTAGCAACATTTTCGGCGGTAATCCCAATAATACCTTAGAAGGAGCAGGCTAGTCCTGTATCCATATTCTAAGTTAACGTAGCAAAATAATCCTCAAAACACATAGAAGTAAATAATGCATGAAACTAACATTAAAGAAAAGACAGAATATAGCTTAAATATGAAACTTTTGCTTCATAAACTCACTTATTCTTTGTTCCTTGAAAATAATGACACCAATATATAGAAAACATATAATATACTCTAACATCAATAAAACTTCAAGAAACGGCTCCGACAGTGTAGCTTAGATATGTATTAAGTCGTGAAGAGATAAATGTCGCGTTTCGGAACACTTTCATTAACCGTACCCCCCCAAAAAAAAAAACGTACATCACGTATAATAGTTAAACGAACCGCCTAAACGTCACGTTAGTGTAGCCTATATAATGTAAAGTTTAGTGTACTCTAATTCCTTATAATGATGGCATACGACGAGACACACATTCGGCATGTAATGCTGTTTGAATACAAGAAGGGAAACTAACGCCTCTGTAGCCACAAAGAAAATCAAAGTAGTTCATGGAAATGTTATGAACGTTCGTAAGTGTCAACAATGGTTCAGCAAATTTCGTTCAGATGACTTTAGCCTTAAAACTGTGATGGCAGGGGCCGACATGTTGGAATTGATATTAATGCTCTGAAGATGCTTGTTGAGTCTAACCCAAGACAACACACACACTAGTGAAATGGCCCTGAAATTGCATGTGATACAATACGTAAACATCTAAAGAATATGGGAAAACTCCTTAAAGAAGGTGTTTGAGTGCCTCACGAACTCTCCGATGATCATTGTTTCATACGTGTGAACGTTGCTTCGTCTCTTATGGAGCGTAATGCGCGTGAACCATTTTTAGACAGAATTGTCACCGGTGATGAAAAATGTATTCTCTATGCGAATATTAAACGCCAGAAATAATGGCTCAGTTCTAGACAAAAACCACTTCAGACCCCAAAGCCTGGACTTCATCCGCAGAAAGTGATGCTTTGCATTTGGTGGGACATCAAAGGGGTAATTCATTTCGAGCTCCTCAATCCACAGCGAAGTGTCAATGCAGAGACCTATGGGCAGAACTGGAACGTTTAAATGAAGCCCTTTATCAGAAACGCCCTTCACTCGTCAATCGGAAAGACGTCCTTCTTCTCCACCACAATGCACTTCCACATGTGGCACGATTGACGCAACACAAGATTATAGGATTGGGTTAGGAAGTTCTCCCCTACCCACCATATTCTCCAGATATGGCACCATCAGATTACCATCTTTTTCGTTTGTCTGCAACACCATCTTAAT